AGCCGCTGGTTTCGCCCCTTACCGGTCAGGCTGAAGAATTTGTTGTTAACGGACTTCCGAAAAGTTCAATTTTCTGTGTTCTGGCTGTGTTTTCTGTTGCTAATATTTAGTTTTCTCTAATCTTGGTTGTGTGAGAAGGCACGGCACATCCACCTATGCCTCCATCTTGGTGGAAGTCCTAGAGTATTCTATCAGTGTTAATTAGCTCTGGTTACTTTATGGTTTCCTTCAATTATTCTATACTTTTGCTAATTGTTCTGTCAAAGACTGAGAATAAGATATTCAAATCTACAATTATAATGGTGAATTTATCTATGTGTATTTCTCCTTTCACTTATATCAACCTTTGCCTCATGTGAAAGGAAGCTATATATATTTTTTGTTTCTTGTAGATAGTATATAGTTGGGTTATGCTTTTAAAACCACTTTGCCAATATCTACTACCAATAACTTCTTTTAGTTTTTTTTCATCTCTTGATTTACCATTCTTAACAAATATTTTCATTGGATGTAAAATTTATAGTCAATAATTCATTCCTTTCAGCACAGGAAAAATGTGTCACTGCCATTCGATCTTCATGCTTTCAGATGAGAAATCTGCTATCATTCTGATTGGTATGCCTTTATCTTCAATGTGCCATTTTTATCTTGGCTGCTTTCAAGATTTCCCTTTTTATTTAGATTTTTAATTTTTTGTGTCTAGATTTCTTTTTCAGAATTATACTTGTGATGTTGCTCAGTATTGATTTCTTTGCATCTTATCATCATTGGGTTTTCCTAACTTCTTAAATTTGTAGGTTTATGTCTTTCACTAAATTTGAGTAATTTTTAGCCACCATTATTTCTTTGAATATTTTTTCAACCTCATACTCTTTCTGTGACTTCAATGATATCAGTATAATGTGTTTTGTTATTGATGCACAAGTCTCAGGCTGAGTTTTTTTTGTCAATTGTTTTCAGATTAGGCAATTTTTGTTATTTTGTAATTTTATTATCACACAATTGAGCCCATCTAATGAGATTTAAATTTTTTCAGTGTTCTTAAGTTCTATAATTTTTATTTAATTTTTTAATATCTTATTTTCTGTGAGATTAAAAATTTTAAATTTGTTTCAAGAGTATTTAAATTGTTGATTAAAACATTTTTGTTATGGCTGCTTCAAGATCTTTATTGAATAATTTCTATATCTGTGTCATCATAACACTGACATCTGTTGATTGTCTTTTCTCATGCAAGTTGTAATTCTGTTTTTTGTTCTCAGATTTTCCATTGTTTTTTAAATATTTTATTTATTTTTAGCAAGAGGAGAAGGGAAGGAGAAAGAAAGGGAGAGAAACATCAACGTGTGGCTGCCTCTCACACACCCCCCACTGGGGACCCCTGCTCGCAACCCAGGCTTGTGCTCTGACTAGGAATTGAACTGATGACCCTTTGGTTCACAGGCCCATGCTCAATTCACTGAGCCACACCAGCCAGGGCATATTTTCCATTGTATAATAAACATTATGTATAGTATGTCAGGAGACTCTGGATCCTATTTAAGCTTCTATTTTAATATGCAGTACACTGTTTAGGTTTATTACACAGATTCCGGCCCACTTTTGTGGGCTGTGGTTCCAAAAACAATTTAGTTTTCAGAGGCTGACTGTGCTATTTTGGTCTGTTTTGTTCACCTGATGCTATTGGAATTCTTGCTCCAGCTTGTACTGCCTGCAGAGGCAGAAGAAACCTCTCCAAACTGCCCAGTGCTACTAGATGGGGAATGGGAGGTATCACATCCAAGGGCAGAGGCTATTTCCTTGGTCTTGCTCACTAGCAGCCCGGTGCTTGGGGGCAGAGGAGGGAGTACATCTGCTAGTGATACAGCAGAAGAGGAATAAACCCACCAAACTACCTCCTGCCACTGGAAGAATTGTTGGCAGGTGGCAGGCCTGGGAACCCTAGAGTTTGTGTGCAGCCTTTTTCTTCGTCGAGAGCTTTTATAAAATTGAAATTTTATTTCCCTCTCAAGCTGTATTTCCCTGGTGAGTCAGACAACAGAGTTGTCAATTTTTTGAAAACTGCTTCCCTAGAAACTCTTCACCCAAACTCTTACTATAGTTTATTTCAGGGAAGCTCGTTCTTGTCCCTCTGTGCTCTCTCTCTCTCTCTCTCATCAAGTAACAATTTCTCATGGAAAAAATCCAATCTAGAATAGAAATTCCTTTGCAGTTTCTTCTATCCTGTAAGAGATGAAATTATCAACATAGAGAGTAAAAAAAATGTATCAGACCCTCTGCTTTATAGAGATCGAGTTAGGTATTGCCCACTGATTCAAAATTACCAGTTTCTAAAATATCTTGCCTCTATGCCAAGTGATATATCTGACAAAAAAAACATTCCGGACCTCAGTGAACATCCATAAACTACTCCTATCATTCTACCACATCTGTTTTTTCTCTCATTATCCTTACTCAAATGCCTTCCATTATGCTCCTACTGAGTATTTTGAATATATGTATTATCTTCCATAGTGGCTCTCAACTTACCTTGTGCCTCTAACTTACCTTCATGCCTGTGTCTCTGAAGCACAGTTTATTTTTTATTCTCATCCCACGTTATGGTTCCATCAAATTTAGTTCTATCTATAGATTGTATTCACCACCCACCATCTTCTATGAAATGTAAGGCTTCCCTTGTGTGTTTACCCATCCACACCATGATGGTTGTATGGATACCTGAGGCCCTAACTTGCATTCCCACATTCTTCCAACACTTCTAAACTGGCAGCGTTCAGCTCTACACGTGCTCAGCACCCAAACATCTGCAGCCACTCATTCATCCCTTCATGTATTCATTCATTGTCTTTCCAGCACATACTGTGTGCCAGATACCATGCTGGTACTGGAATATAGCCTAAGAAGCCTTCAGGCCACTTGGGGAGACTGAGATATAAAAGGACAGTGCAGAGTGATTGGTGCCATAGTGATGTGGGGGAGTATATCAGGGTCCCATGAAGCTCAGGGAAACCAGAGAATGTATCTTGGAGCAGAAGCTCCATGATGCTCCCACAGGATAAGTAGGAATTAGTTATGCCGTAGAAAGGAGGGAGGGCTGTATATTCAGAAGAGATACATTGTCCAAAGCAGGAAGGCTGTAACCATGAGTGATCTGGCCTGACAGTGGGTTAAGTTCTGTGTGGAGGTGTTACAGGAAGTGTGGCCCCAGGAGAACTGGTTGGCAGGAGGGCTTCATGTACCAGGTGGGGAGCTGTTTGTACTGAGAGAAGTGAGAAGCCCTGTAAGGCTGAGGCAGGGGAGTGACTTGGCCAGGTTTTGTTCCAGGAACTGACCACTGTCAACTGAGCTCAGGCAGTTGTGTGGGCCTCTATGGGGGAGATACAGAGGGGTGACACTCTGTGCTGTATTGAGCATAACCAAGTGCCACTAACTAAAAATCTACCCAATGAAAAAACCCCACTCTTCTTGGCACTGCCAGAACCATCTCTAGACCACCATGCTTTGGTGATGCTTGAAGAGTACTCCTGGTCTTCAGGTATCTGGAAAGTATGTAACCAGCATAACATAGGCCCTACAGGTGATGGAAAAGACCCAAGCTCATACATCACTATTGCAATAGTCAACTGAAAACCCACACTCACCTAACTCTAAAGAAAACAATGCTCACAACACTCCCTATGTCCCCTAGGTTGCTTGCTGCTAATGTCTTTTCCCCTCACATCTGCCCTGGGGCTCATATCAACTGCATTTTCCCAGAGGCATCACTCAGTGTAGGCTAGTGAGGTGAGTGCAGGCCTGGGAGTCAGATGTATCTAGGGTCAGGGGCCTACTGTGTCACCTTTTCAGAACCCCAGGTCTGCCCTTTGTAGGATGGGATGATTACACCTACCTCATAGGATTGTTGCAGGCATTACAGATGATGTTGTCAATTGCTGGAGCAGGGTAGCTGCTCAGTAGCATGAGTGATGGGTCCTCCACTGGCCAGGTCCCTGCCTTTGGATGCCTCTAAACAGGGAGACAGCTGGCCTGGGGAAAAGACTGAGGTTTGAACCATTGCCTTTTCTTTTGTAATGCCCCAGACAGGAAACGGCTCATTAATAGGGAAATATATGCATGAATTGTAGCTTTTGTTTTTAAGGACTATTAGGCAGCTGTTAAAAAGAATTATTAAATTTTTATCTACAAAGAAAACTAAAGGACTGTCCATAGAAGATCATTCATTGCAAAAAGCAATGTGCTATATTATATGTAGTATGCTATCATTTATGTAAAATTAAAAGAAAAAACAAGTGTATGTAAAAGTATATGGGTATTAAGTTTCTGAGAGCAAGGTGGGCAGAAGCAAGGGTCACCCCTCAGAATGCTGACAAAGCTCACCTCCTCAGTTCGAACCTAAGGGGGGTTGAGGGAAAATCATTAACTCTTGTTGTACTGTCAATATTGTTTAATTATATTAAGGATTTTTTACTGTTATAATTTCACAATCTAAAGACAAAGAAAACAAAGGCCTGGACTTGAATTCCAGATCTGCATCTTAGGAAACCAAAACCAATTAGGAAAACCTAATTGGTTTTCCAACTTCTCCAAACCTTGCTCTTTGTGTATAAAATGTCAATAATCATCCTCTTTTCAGAGTTTTGAAACAAACGCATCAATGTGCTAATTCACCTGGTAAACACCTACCCAGAGCACCCTGTGGCCAGGCCCTGTGCTGGGGCTCTGACAGTGACACCTGTTGGAAGGACCACCCTCTTCCAGCTGTGAAATGTGGCACAGGGCTTTGTTTGCCTGGCCACACAAATGAATGGTCCACAGTGGCACTTCTTGTGCTGTGGCAAGCAGGAGGATTGGGGGAAGATTTGGGGGGAGTGGGCCTGTGGCGTCTTCTCCACACAACTTCGCAGTGAGCCCTCTGCATGTACACAGGGGACTCCAGCCCAAGTTGGGGCACCTGTGCTCCACCCTTGGCAGCAGCCACCTTCCTCTTGGTTGTGTTTCAGATCCAAAGCCTAAAAAGAGAAATGGACTGAAGTGCTTCACGGTCATGGTGGTCATCTACCTGATTCTGCTCTCCGTGGGCACTGGGTTGCTGGTGATAAAAGGTGAAGCAGCCTTGGTCCCTCTGGGAGTGACTAGCACAGAGCTCCAGCTGAGCGGAGAGCCCTGGGGCTGCTGCTGCCACCTGCTGAGAGAGAGCTCTCAGTCCCTTAGTTCACAGATGGAGGCAGACGAAGGGAAGTGAGAAGAGAGAAGTGTGGGCTGTGTTGTGTTGTGTTGTGTTGTGTGTCTGTGTATCTGCGTGTGTGAGAGACAGAGAGAGAACCCATGTGAGCCTGTGTGAGTCCAAAGCACTGAAAGATGCAATGATTTCACACAGGTGTGCCATCAGCATCTTACATCAAGGATTTACAGCCTCTGAATTGGAAGAGGCTTTATAAGTGTTCATTTTAACATGACTTTACTTTTCAAAGTGTTCCCACTCCAAATATTAAGGTCATAAAGCAATTCCATCAGCAGACAGAATTTACTCAAGAATATCGTGTGCCCAGCTGTCATAAATACATGTCACATGCATATTAAGGTGACATGAATAAGTCAGACCAGCACTTTAGTTGTTATACATTCATGTCCAGAATATGCACAAGAGTCTTCACTGCATGAAGATTAAAGGTCGACTGTGATTCCATGGGCACACAAGGGGATTGAACATTTAGTGTCATGCCTCAGTGTGGAGCACACATGTGCAAGATAGAGGAAAAGCTCTCTGCTCCTGCTAGGTCTTCACAGCATATGAAACGCGTTTATGCATTTAGGGCCTAGAGGAGGTATGCACCTATGACACAGAAATGCCAGAAATGTGCTCACATGCCTCAGGCTTTAAGGAGGGCCTGAAAGAATGCTGTGGGGTGGGGTGGGGTGTCCAGTTCTGAATCTGCAGAAGCACCTCAGGGCCCTCGAGACTCACCTTGGCAATGGAACAATGGCCGACGAGGACAGCCCATCCTTCTCCTTACTCTGGTCGGAGCACACCCCTCACCTGGCTGCAGGTGCACTGAGCCTGCAAGTCCTGCAGACGCAGCTCAACCAGGTCCACACCAAACAGGAGTACCTGCTGCAGCAGGTGGACAACTTCACTCGGAACCCAGGTTTGGCCCTCTCCTCTCCAGATTGGGACTCCTCGGAGGATGACAAGGAAGTAGAAGCTGTTTGTTCATAACAGGAGGGTCTTTGGGCCTGAAACTCCTTCCCTGGCAAGGGGTCTTCCAAAATCCTGGCTTGGCATGAAAACTTGGAGTCAAGACATGGAATGAGAGCCATATGGGGTGGACACAAAGTTACAGGTCCCATGGGTTGCAAACAGGGCTATCAGAAAGTGGGGCTATCAGAAAGGAATATAAGAACCAAAGCCCTCGTCCAAACAGAGTGTAACCTAAGAACCAGGGACTGGAGCAACTAGCTCAGCCGAGCCTAACTCACAAAGCCTTCAGACCTATCCAGAATACTTAGGAGGTTGGGTAAAACCCATAACCTCTGTAATTCCCAGGGCCCCACCCATACAGACAGCTAATACTGGCCCATTGCTGGTAGGCCAGGTGATGTGGGAACTGTGGAGGGGAAAAATCTGCTGGACCTAAGAGGAAAAATAGTGGCTTTGATGGTAGGGCTGCAGACAGAAGAAAAGGGAGCCTAAAAGAATCCTCCTTCCCTCTGTCCCCTCCAGGACTTACACCTACCACTCTCTCAGGCTGGCCTAAAAAGGAAGGAAAGGGCTAATTTAGGCAAAACCAGCTCCTAGGTGTGACCTAGTTATTGCAGGGTTTACACCATTGCATGGAGCCTGGGATCCTTGCTCTGACTTCCCTGTATGGGGTGAACTGGGGCTTAGGAGAGTGAGCCTATGGCCAGGGGCCTGTGCCCGCAGGAGCATATGCTGTACACGGATGCTATGAAAGGCTGCTGCCTCCCCAGCGAGCACAGATGAGAACCAAGTTGGGATGTGAGCATAGGGGACAGTGTGGCAGATGGGCAGAGTCCAGGATCAGGTGCTGGACACAGGAAGTGTTACTCTTTCAACTGAGAGGTGAAGGAGGAGCTAGTGCTGATCAGCATGAGGGCCCTTCCTCTAACCTTAGGCACTTTCCCAGCTGGTTTGTCCCCACAGTCTCTAACAGTGTCAGGGGGCCTGCCGGGCCCCACACTTCTGGGACTCCCAGAGATCTACAGGTGTAGAGCTCTCAGGCTTGGAGCGCTAGTTACAACGAAATACCTGGCTCTTTCTAAGGACTCATTCCTGGAAAACGTCTAGGTGCTTGGCTCCTGTTGTCCAGTGCCCCTCAGGCCCCCCCAGTTTCCCCCACCCCACTACAATCTGCCTCTGCTGCCCACCTTGGAGGCACTAACTCAACACTGAGCTGGGAGCTCTGGGTTGTGCCACCAAAGCCCAGCCTGAAACCCACTCTCCTTTCCTTGCAGGGCTCTTCCAGATCAAAGGAGAACGAGGCACTCCAGGTGGGTTCATTTCCACTCTGACCCATGCTGCTCTCCCCTTCACCCATGGTCCCCTTGGCCTGTGCCTTTCAGGTCCTCCACACTTGTCCCCAACTTACTTTCCATTGGTCCCCCTTAAACTCCCTGGTCTTCACCTGGATTCTCCTCTTGCTCCCCTGACCATGTTTGCACACCCATTATCTGGGCCTTTAAGCTGCTCCTTGCCTGAGATGGGAAGTAGCTCCTACCTCAACTCACCCCCCCCCCAAATCTAGCCACTTCTAAGATGAGCCCCAGTGCATCTCCTCAGCTGGACTCTCCTCCAAGGATCCCAGCTGCCAGCACAGGTCACTTCCTTTGTTTCCCATAAGTGCTCTTTCCAGGTTCCTATTACCTGACACTTAACATTCCACACCCATCTGGCAGTGGCCACGGTAATGACGTGGGGAGGGACAGCCTGTAAGGTCAGACTGGCATGAGTCTAGTTGTAGGTCTGCCACTCAATAGCTGTATGACTTTGGACCAGTTACTTAATTTCTCTGGAACTTTGGCTGTTCACCTGCATAGAAAATAATGGAGGTATAATTATCCTTCCATCACAGAGTTGCTGTAAGATTCAAGTGAGCAGTTGTGAAAAAATATCTGCCAATAACAAGTGCCTTCTGAGGACAAAGCCTGTGGCTTAGTTTCCTTTTCTTTCTACCTTTAATGCACACATTATGTTGCACATACATGCATATACGTCACTGGCACTCTAGTCCGTTGTTAGCTCAGTCTTGAAATTTCATCTTAAAAATAAATGCACATGACATTCTTGGGGCAGAACTCTTTGGTCTCATAATTTTTCAAGTATGGCCCAGATCACACTATTGACCAGTGGGACATTGAGAAGCCTTGTGAGTGCCAGGAATCTAGGCTTGGATGACTGGCAGACTGGGACACAAACCCTAGCTTTGCCTTTCAGGAGCCAGATGGCCTTGAACAAGTTGATTCCCACTTCTGAGCTTTGTGTCCTTCTCTATAAGATAGGGGCAATGGTGGGACCTCCAGAACTAGTGTCAAGATAAAATGATAAGTGGAAAAGTATTTAGTCCAGTGCCCAGTTCAGGGTGAGTGCTCAATAATGTTGTTGTTACTATGACTATGATTATTTGCTTCATTATTGTTTTTCTTGGGAAGATTAAATGAGCTGATATTTGGAGAGCCCCCAGCCTAATGAATGTTGGCCCTTGCACTCTAAGGAGACACTTAAAACCTCAATCGCTTTAGGATTGTTTCAAAACCTCAATCACTTTAGTGGACAGAATCAATGCTTAAACTCTTTCTCAACTCGGTGAGTTTAGTCTGACCTTTAATATCTGCTCTATCACCTGCCCTAGGCACAGTGGTCCAGGACCAGGCACGGAGTCCGCCTTCCCTCACATCTGGGTGGGAACAGGCTCCCTCTGGTCCCTCTCTGTCTGTCTATGAGCACATAGATGTATATACATTTATAACCTTCAGACACTATCTCTCTGTGGTTCTCAGTCTCTAACAGCTTCTATCTGTCTTTCTCTTTCTCTCCTAGAGCCAGAAACTGGAGGCAGGAATTAGTAATGTCAACAGCCTGGTCTGCAAAAGATCTGCCTCAGGGCCCACTTGCCTTCCCAGGTTCCCCACCACCTTGGCTTCCCCAGGAGGCTGTAGTCTCTCTCCTCTCCTCCATCCTGCTTTGACTGGTCAGGGCTCCGCAAAGGGACATTTTGCTATAGAGTCTCATGGAGATCAGTAGGTTGGCCAGAGAGGATGGCAGGGTGCAGAGCTCAGAAGCTGTTGTTTTCACCCTGAGGAAGCCTGCAGGTGAAGGTGCACACTGGCCCAGGCTTCCTAAAATACAGCTGGGGAAGGTGGGAGAGGGGACCATTACACCTAAGTCAAGTTTTGGGGAAGTGTAGTGTGGAGCCCATCTGTGCCTCAGTTCCCATCTTTTGTATGACCCAAACTTTTTTCTTTCTTCCCAACAAATATTTATTGAAAGCCTCTTAAGGAAGAGGCATTGACCAGGCAGTGAATCCATACATTAGATAGAAGTCACACAGGACACCTGCCCCCAGGGGCCTTCCTGTTTAGGCAGGAGATCAACTTGGAGCATAATTTGGTAGCAGCCCTGGCTACTGATCTGAAAGGTGGACGATTCCCTGGGTTAAAGGAACATAGATGGGACCTGACCTCCACAGGTGCCAAGGAAGGCTCCAGAGCCACCTTTTAGCTGAGACCTGAGGGTGGGGGAAAGTTACAATGAAGCATGGGTTCCAGAGAGCATGAATCCCAAGTGTAAGGCTCTTAGGTGGAAAGGGGGTTTGGTGAGTAAAGGAATGCTGAGAGTGACAATTCATGAGTCCAGAGTGCAAGAGCAGGGGAAATGCAGGTGAGCAGTGGGCTTGGGGAGTCGTAGGGACTAGCCAAACTCAGGGTTGAGGCCAGCCCTGCTAGTTAACTGAAGGTACATTTTATCTGTTCTTTGATGACTTTTCACAACAATGCTGAGTGGCTGTCGCTATCATCCCTATTTCACAAATGAGGAAAGTGAGGGTCAGAAGTACATTGACTTGCTCGAGCTGAGCCAGGCAAGATTGCAAGAGCTGAGTTTGACTCCACAGTGGACCTGGGACAGTCTTCAGAGCCCGTGGTGACAGGGATCCACCTGAGGGGCACAGCTTCTAGGGCACTTCTGAAGTGCCAGGGGAAGGAGCCTCCAGCCTTGGTCTACCAGGATGAGGAACAACTCTGATGAGGTGTTTTCTGTGTCCTGGGGTCTCTGGGGTTCTCGCCTCCTCCTTTTGGTAGTAAGTATAGAAACCCCCTTTTAATGGGTTTCTACCATGTCCCACAACCTCATCAAGTCACCTGAGGATCCTGTGAGGAGGGTGCTGCTATTCCCATGTGCAGAGGAGAGTGATGCTAAGCCGAGGGAAGGCCCTCACTCAGGTCACAGCAGGGGAGCCAGCTCTCAAACCCTGAACCAATCCTCACCAGGCTCTTTCCTGAGACCCTGCGCTGAAGTGAGGTATTACAGTCCCCAGTTCTACTTCTTTCCCTCTGGACTCCAGTCTTGTATATATAAAATGGGTCTCATAACATTACGGGTTCCACACACTGCACTGCAATCTACTCTGAAATACACTCAGGCCTCCACATCTGTGGTTCTGTATCCGCAGATTCAACCAATCACAGATTGAAAATATTTGAATGAAAATTCCAAAATGTAGATCCCTAAACAATGCAGTACAACTATTTATGTAGCATTTACATTATATTAGGTATGATAAGTACTCTAGAGATGATTTAAAATATATGAAAGGATGAATGTAGGTTAAATGCAAATACTATGCCACTTTATACAAGGGACTTGAGCATCTGTGGATTTTAGTATCCACTGGGGTCCTGGAACCAATCCCCTGTGGATTCCAATGGATGAGTGTAGAAGCTTCCCCCATGGTGCCCTAGCATGTGTGCAGGCTTTGCTATTGGGAGACTCAGAATCTGCTGACCTCTCTCCAAATATGTCACCTTAGGCAATGCCCAAGGCTCTCAAAAAGTCCTTCTTTTCTGTGGTGATGTGGGGATGTGCTATGTTCTGAATGTCTGTGTCCCTCTGAAATTCATGTATTGAAATTCTAATGCCTAAGGTGGTGGCATTAGGAGGTAGGGCCTAGGGAAAGTGATTAGGTCCTGAGAATGGAGCCTTTATGAATGAGACTAGAGCCATTGTAAGAGGCCCCACAGAGCACCCTAGTTCTAGAGAAATAAATTTCTGTTGTTTGTAAGCCACCCAGTCTGTGGCATATTGTTACAGCAGCCAGAATAGACTGAGATAGGACAAGGAACCCTGTCCTGCCCGTCTGAGTCATTGAGACTTGAGTCTGCAAAACAGAGAGACCCTTGGAGAGAGAACCACACACAAGTGGCAAAAGTCATAGGCGCCATTTGTCCAGAGCGCTGCATGTTTCCATATGGTTTCCATGGCTTCCCCTGGACAGCCCTGTGTAAGTGTTATGTCAACACCATTGTACTGACAAGAAAGGTGAGACTCAAAACAGGGAAGTGACTTGCACAAGGTCACTCTGCTACTGTTGGGACCCAGGTCTGTCTGACTTAGTCCCTGTCAGAAGATGTCATCTATACAATTGTGTCTTGCCTGCTAGGCCATGAACTTCTTACAGAAAGAAGTTCTGTCTTGTTTTTTTTTTTCTTCCTTGCACACAGTTTGGCTGGTCCTGAGTGCTCAGTGACAATTTGTTGAATGAATAATGACACTGAGTGTCTTTGTCAACACACCTGTTTGGTATTTCTGCTCCTCTTCCTCATGTCTTCTAGGTCAAAAGGTGGGTCTTGACATTCTTGGCTGAGAAGAAGGAACAGGAGGTCAAAGGGAACAATGGAACTGCTGATACTCCCCACTTATCTACTGGCACCGTAATCCTCTTCCTCCTCCTTGTCCTGGCTGTATTCTGAATCCCTTTTTCTTTCCAGGCCCCCCAGGACTCCGAGGCCCACCAGGAACCAAGGGAGAGGCAGGTAAGTGGGGGCCAGTGTGTGTGCTGGCACCCCCAGCAGGCTTTTTCAGAGAGGCTGCATTGGGTTACAGATACAGACCCACTCCAAACACTCAGCAGGGTCTCTGTATGAGGGAGGCTGGCTCAGTGTGACATTTTAAAAGAGCTGGGAATGCTGAGAAGCACCCTGCATTGTGTTGGAAGTACCTAGATGGGGCTGGAGGGGGTTGGATGCTCCAGTCTCCTCTCAGGGATCAGGAATCCAAGCCTGTGAACATCACTGGGGAGAGTCAAGCTCACTGGTGCAGCAGAAACTCTAGAATCTGACATATCTGCCTCTACCATGGACTAGGTCTGGGACCTTGGGAACATTCTCTCACCTTTCCGAACCTCAGTTTTCTTATGTATAAAATGGGGATAGTGTGCTTCAGAGGGTAACAGGGGGATTAGCATGATGAAAAGCCCATGACTGTGACTGTGTTTTAGGACGTAGCTTAAACCCACCCAGCTGCCTTACAAATAGCCACAGCATGACTGGAGCAGAGAATTTGGGGAGCATGACTGAACCCACCCTGGAAAAGGAAGGAAACTGAAATATCAGAGCCCATGACCCTCATAGTCCAGTCCACTCTCCACTTAGACTCCTTAGACTCTCCAACCTCCAGGTCCCTGGAAGTGCTCGGGCCACTGAGATGTACAGATGTTAACACAGTGATACACTAGGCCACTAGGTCTCTGGGGCACTGAGGTAGAAAGAAAACATCGCCAGTTATGGAGGGGAAACTTGTTAGCAAATAAAAATCTTTTTCTGAGGAGCTAATTTTGGGGGGGAATCTAATGGAAGGGATCCCAAAGAGTCTCATTTTAAGCCTCCAGCAGGGGTTTTTCCAGGGAGGTTTACAGCAATGAAGATGGGCAAGTAAACAATAAGGGGAGAGTTTATAATGCAACGAGGGACCCACACAGACACCTGCACACCCATGTGCACACACACACATGCCCACGTGCCTCTGTGTGTGTATGTGTGTGGGGAGAGAAAGAGACAGAGAGAGAATGAGATCTCTGAAGAGTGGTTTAGCAGGGAAGCTGCCCACAGCAGGGCATCTAGAATGCCTGCTGATTGAAGAACTGAGACCACAGAGTGACTGAGCTCTTCTTCCCACCATCCCCTCCCCGCCACAGGCCTCCAAGGACCGAAGGGTGCTCCAGGGAAGCAAGGAGACACAGGTAACTTGTGCTTCTTCTGCTTGGGATCAGTGATGCACTGGCCCAGGCACTGAGTCAGTCAGTTGTCCCCAGCATTCCTTCCCCTCAGCTCCTCCCCAGCCCCAGAGCATTAACGCCTCCTACAGTCCTCTTGAGTCTTACTGTACCACCTCATGATTACCCAAGAGATGAGCTAACACACCCCTAGACTTTTTCCAGGGACTCCTTACTTTTCTCCCCAGAATGTCTCCTGCCTATCACATAGCAAACTCACCCCCAGGATGATGCTGGGAGCCCACCTCACTGACCATTCCCTTCACAGGCAACCCAGGACCTCAGGGAGAGAAAGGCAGCAAAGGCGATGGGGGTCCCATTGGCAAGAAAGGGGAAACTGGTGCTAAGGGAGACAAAGGAGACCAGGGCTTCCCAGGTAAGGGCCTTGTTGAAGTATTGGTATTTACTGGGAGGCCTGGGGGGCTGGGCTCTCACTCTGTGCAACCATGTCTGTTCAGTGCCCACAGAGGACAGGGCAATTTTTGGCCTACCAGCATCCCTGGATTGTAGATGTGGTATGTTCCATCCAGGTGAGCAAAGGAAAGGAATGTGAAAGCTAAGAGCAATGTGAGAGAGGCAACGATGCCACACCAAGCATAACGGGTGGCAACTGGTGAGATAGGCAGGGCTAGTAAGTAGCAGGGAAAGGAAGTGAAACACCAGAGTAGGGGCCTGAGGTGGGCCAGGAGAAGGAGGAAAGCCTGCATGGCAGTGAAGGCAAGGGGCTGATTCTAGAGGGAGGACTTTAGACAGCTCCCCTCCTTAATGGCAGGTGCAATACTTAAGGGCCATGGGTTAGAACTACTTTGGGTGCTTGTTCAAAATGCAGGTTGGACTCAACAGTATGTTTCAGAGGCCCTGGATGATTCTGACCCTGGAGGTCTAGGAGACAGCTCTGAGAAGCACTTCCCTAGGGGCTCTGGCCATGACTAAGCATGTCATGCTCTTTGTCACTTGACCTCTTTGTGGGCCTCTCAGGGTGTATCTGGGATGCAGCAGGGGGAATGAGGGCTGCAGATCTATCCAGGTTGGTTGCCATCTCTGCTCTGAACCTGTCCACCAGTGTGACTAGGCACATGACCTTGCCTGCTGAGATTTGATTTCCTCATTTCAGAAAAAAAAGGTAATTAAATTAAAATAATAATTAAATTGTGCACACCATGGAGGGCAATTATAAAGGTTAGAGGTCATATTTTCAAACTCTGCCACATGGTTGACACTAAATAAATGACCATCATTATTGATAGTAGTATTAGTAATTCTGTAAAGTAGGAAGGGAAGAACTTCAGTTCCAAGATCAGGCAGATCTGGGGTCTAATATGGCTCGTTACCTGTGCGACCTTGGACAAATAACTTAACCTCTCTGAATCTCAGTTTACTCACCTAAAAGAGGAGGATAGTAATATTAACCTTTAATGAGGATTAATTACAACAGGAGTGTGAGACACAGAAGAAGTGTGATACTGTCAGTCACTACCTAGTTTCTTATTTACCTATACTTGCCTAGGTACACTTCCCGTACCTAGGTACACCTACAAACTAGGTACACTTGCCTTCAGGAAGAGAACCCTTAGCAGGAAGCTGTCAGCCATCCTCAAATATTAGAAATGCACTTGTGGAAGAGAAAATAGACTTGCTGCAGTGGTGCCCAGCAGACGAATGAGCACTAATAGGCAAAGGTTTCAGGAGAACCAATTGTGTCATGTGAGAGAGGAAGAACAGGGTAAGACTTGGGACTGCCCCATGATGAAATGGGCAGGTGATGGTCTTAAGGAGCAGCCTTCTGCTGGGAAGGGGAAGAGTAGGTACAGAATTCTCCCGGGTGGGACTGGTGGGGGAGGGTCCTTGCATTAGGCAGATGGTTGGACAGTTGACCTCTAAGGATGGTTTCCAAAGTGGTAGTCTGAGTTCTCTTTGCAATAGGAAAGGGAGGACCAGACTTTTCTCAGGGTGGTTCTGCCATCCCCAAGGAAGGGGACAATAGCCAGGCCTTCACTCACCAGCCCTTTCCTATGGATGTTTTCCATCCACACTCACACACTGCCACATAGGAGGGCATTGAGCCCACACCCAGTTGCAGCCTGGGACCACTGTGACTGGTGAGAGGAAATGCAACAGACTCAGTTCCTCAGAAATCAGGATACTGATCTCCCCCTCCTCTTCCTAAGTCTCCTCTCCCAGGATCACAAGCTCTCTCTTACCCACTGCTTGCCCACCCAAGTGCGACCTACCCTGGTGCTACTGCGGTTTTCCACTCTTCGTCCCAGCAGATGGGTATTGCTACGGAGGTGAAGTTCCAGGAGACATGCTCCATCTTTAGCTGTATTTAAAAGTTCTGAAGTCAGACACAGCTGTGATTGCTCAGTTGGTGCCAGACTAGTCTTTTCACTGATACTTCTCTGCTCCCAAGGTTGTCCCCTTTGATGGAGACATGGAAGTCAAAGAAATACAGACTCAAGCCCAGGTCATGCTCAAGAAACTTCATACAGCCAGGAATGATGAGCCTGACTGTCCCAGAGCAGTGGGACACCAACAAATTCCTCCAGAGAAATAATTTCTAGTCCCTCTAATAAGACATTTGTTCCTTCTGCCACAGTGAACACTCTGAATGATCAAAAACTGCCTTCTTGCTGTTTGTACCTAGGCTGTTGTAAGAGATCTCAACTCTAAACAAGTTCTTGAGAGTTGTTTTGTCTTCCACCAAGAAATAATTATTCTTTGTATATCTAAAGCATCTTCAAGAATCTGATTTCCAAACCTTGCCCCTAACATCCCTCAAAGCTTATACCCATATAGGTTTGTACAACAGTTGCTTCTCTTCAATCCATTTTGTCTCCTTTCCTGATTCACTAGAGAGAAAGCTGGTTGCCTTCTGAATCCTCTCCAGCTCTGATATCACAACATTAATGGAATTCTAGCCCAACAAGCCATCCCCAGGGCCCAAGGGAATTGCTCTGGGTGGGTCTTTGCAGCTTCCTGAATATCAGCCAGCCATGGGTTACTGATGAGCAAGCTCACATGGTACAGCTGGCAAGGGCCAAGCAGCCCACTCACAAACCAAAAGCACATTTTGGGAAGGGGTTGGAGACTCCTGCCTTGTGAGGAGCTGCCCTCAATTGATATGCACCAATCAGTGGCAGAAAATGGGAGGGAGCAAAGGAGAATCAAGGAGTGGACAGGCTGGGACAAGCTTTGAATGCTGATGACAAGTGGCACATGTAAACCCTTTGTCACAAGGGAAGCCTGTGGCTGAACAGCTGGTAGGAAAGGAACTGCCACAACGTCTCTCTCTCCACTGATGCTCAGAATTTCTATCCTCAGCATTTGGTGTCTGTCTTCTAAAATATTCAGATTTCAGTTTGGGGGGCTTGAAAAAATAATTCCCCAAATAAGCTGGGCAGCGAAAGTTGAACCTGGGCTGTGGTCCCTCCCAAGTGGACCTGAGTGCTGACCTGGGCCCTGAGAGCCTGGTTTCCAGACCTCCCACTGTCTTGGCCACTGTCGATCAGCCAGGTCACCTTGTCCATTTTTCATGAGTTTATGTCTTGTCTCTGGGGCAAGGGGGTATGCCTCTTGAGGGCAGCCATCATCTCTTTGTGTGGGACAAGATGTGTCAGAGTGGGACCTGGTGCCCAGGTTAGCCTTGTGTCATGCCTGACTATGACTTCTTGGTTTTTTAGGAAGCAAGGGGGATATGGGCATGAAAGGAGACATGGGGATCATGGGACCCCCCGGAGCCCAGGGGCAAAAAGGTGACTTGGGGAAACCAGGCCCTCCAGGTAAGAGGCTGTGTGGACAGGTCCACTGGCATGTAGATATTAGATATTCCTTTTTTTTTCCTGGAAGGCTGAGCTAGAGGAAAAATAATTTCTAAAAGTCCCTCTTAATTTTAGGTGTGGCTGGCATTTCTGGAATCAAAGGAGATCAAGGTAAGAACTGTAGGAATCCACACCCAGTTCCCACTCTTTCTGGGCAAAGTCAAGCCCAAGACCTGACTCTGCTATCTTTTATTTCATTGCAGTATTAATCTAGAGCATCTGGGGGCTCTAAAACCTGGCCCCTCCTAAGAGGAACAAAGCAGCATGTTTAACTGATATTCCTCTTTAGAGCTGCATCCCACTCTGCCACCCAGGGTTGGAGTTGGACATTTGCAACCCAGGGCTCCTAGTAAGTTCACAGACCCAAACTGCAGCAGTGAATGGAAAAAAGTAATAAATTGCTGAGACTGTATTTTCCCCCCTTCCCCCTTGCCTCTGTTAAGGCTACTTCTAAACCTGCCCAGGGAACATATGAGGTGTTAGGACATACTACTCTCACTGCTGAGAGCAGATGTGTGTTGAGGGGACAGCAGCCAGGCCCTCTGCCAACCATCTCAGCCTTGCAGTCATGACTTAACTTTCAGGACAACCCGGAGCAGAGGGTCTTCGGGGCCCACAGGGTGTGGCAGGATCCCCAGGTGCCAAGGGTGAGCCTGGAAGTGCTGGTGCCCCTGGGCTAACAGGTGAGGAGGTCCTTCATCCTGTGGTGGGCTTGCGGAGTGGTGTCTGAAGATTCATCTACCCAGTTCTTATGCCCACTGTGGCATCTCTTGTACAGGACCACCAGGGAGACCTGGGAGTCCAGGAGCTGACGGTGTGAAAGGAAGCAAGGGAGACACAGGTAACAGAGGGTGTAGGTTGAGGATGTGGGTAGGTTTGTTGGATATCAGAGATGAACAGGACTGAGGACCCTATGGGTCCACTAGAATGTGGCAGAAGGCATCCTGTGCTCTTCCCCTCTGAAGGTCCTAGGGCTGTTATTCCTCTGCCCAGGGTTTTCTAAAGGCCTTGAACGTTATGACCAAACCTCCAACATCAAAGAGGAGAGCAGAGCACCTCGGCCACACTGTCTGCTTGTTCTGCCTTCCAATTGTGGGCATAGTTTTCACTCTTTTCTGCTGACTTGGGATTCAGGCAGGGAGTATCAAGAAACCCCTTTTTGCATATTCTTTCATGGTTCTCAGGCTGGGAGAAGTGACCCACTGCAAATGAACTCACAGAGACTTGCTTCTAAACCATTGCACCGACTTAGCATAGGATATAAATTGTCATGTCAATTTTATCTGTGTTATAAACCATTGTGCCAACTTGGCCTAGATACCAAAACCAAAATACCAATGCAGTCTACTTTATAAACCACTATGCCAATTTTATCTAGGTCACTACACAAGTCCGGATACCTGCAATGTTCTAGAAAGTCTGGGCCACTGTGTTGGGTGCTGGGTCCCCATGATGCATAAGACCTAGTTCCATTCTTTGGCCATACAGATTGGGGCAGGAGATAAACAGACTTTTACCACACCATGTCAGGCATATTTTGATGTAGGTATTTGCATGGGGGACTGTTGCCCACAATTTAGAAAACCAGGTGCAAGTGTGGTGGCAGTATGATGCTGTGAGAAAGGACTGCATCTCCTAGGATGTCTGTGGGTGGTCTGCGGCAGTCCCCTTCTCTGCCAGAGAAAAGATAATGCTCGTTTTAGCAAACCTGGATGTTCTCACCCCAGAGCCATGCTATGAACCCACAGCAGAGGCAAGAACTCTCAGTTTTAACTGATCAAGTGGTTGACTGATTAATTAATTAAACAAATGGGACTTAACCCTGTTAAATGCATCAGGTTAGCAAGGGCTGGAGTCTGGTGGGGTTGGTGAAAGACAGACCAGTGCAGGGGTGGTGTAAGAGCTTCAGCTGAGTCTTAGAGAATGAGTGAAGTTTGGACATGTGCAGGAGGAGAAGAGAAGTCTAGAGAGAGGGAACAGAGCAGGCAGAGTCATGGAAGAGTGAGAGAGGGCTCTGTGGGTTGCTGTCCTTGGCACCTAGTTGGTATCTAAATTTGGTAAGGGGAAAGTCAGGAGCTCTGGTCAGAGGAGCAGGTGAGGCCACCTCCTGGCCAGCTTTGCACATCTGAGGTTTTACAGAAGATTGTCAGGAGCCATGGCAAGGGCAGCTCCTGCACCCACTGTTCTTCCCATCCATCCAGCCTTGGAGCTGATTTCTCTTTCACACATAGTGTGTCAGCAGAAGCAGGGGCTCTGCTACCTAATGCCACCTGAAGGCTACCAGCAAGGTCTCACCTTTCAGAAAGACTCTATCTGAAGTGAAGTCTGGTGGCCCGAACTTCTCAGCCCCCTCTTCTGATCTTATATTGCCCTCTTTTCTGGAGATCTTAGGGTGTCTGAGTTTGGGACCTGAGGATGTCTTACCCTTGAGTTTTCTGCTTGGCTTCATGGATATGAGAGCTTTCCTGCCTCAGTTATAAACAGAGTATACCTTCTCCTCCACCTCCCACCACCCCTAGACTAGACTAAACAAAAATATTTGCAAGTAAAACATGATTTTACTCAAAGCCTTCCCGTTCCCACTCCTCGAGCCCTAGTCTTTGTCTCCTGCTGTCTGAAAGCGGAGTACCTTGCCCTGTACTCTGCATCCTTGGAGGGTTTGCATAATGAGAGCAGCTACTGACAGTGAGCATCCCTACAACAAATAGTGGACTGAACAGTCTTGGGAGTTCTGTTTCACAGTAAGAGGTGTGGGCCAGGGTTCAAATCTGGGTAAGGGTTCAAATCAGGCTTGGCCCATACAAAGCTTGGGCTTTATCTATTACACTTTGACATGCCATCTTCCTCCCCAAGAAGCCTGAAGTGTCCCCTTTTCCAATCAGGACATGCTGATGAGTGACACTTCTCCCCCTTTCCTAGCCCAAAAGGATTGGTGGAAGCTGCAGCAGCTTCTTCCACTCTTAGGAGAAAACCAGAAACTCTCAGGCTCTGTTATGGCTCTTCCTATTTACCCCATCCCCCATTTTAGCATGCAGTCTGGGGATTATTTTCACTCTATCATTGAGTCCTTGTCTATTTGCTGAACATGTTTACATTGATCTCCAACTATAAGACCCTGTGGTAAATACCAACCAGGCAAATTCTAAGGGTAATTCCTTAATTCCCATTGTTCAAATAAATATGGTGAATTACCTCTTCATTTTGAAGCATGCGATAAGGACAACTTATATAAATTTGCATAAATTTCTCACACAAATCCAAATACTTGTCTTGAACAAGTAGCTGATGGTCCACATGGACATCTCAGAAAGGAATTCCGATAGAGAGGACCACAATCTGGCCCATCATTGCCAGGTTTATAAATCATCCTGAGGTAAAAGATTAATAAACTTTGGGACAGGTTAGATTTTTGGAGTAGGAGGAGGAAGGCTGGGGGCCGGTAAGTGGTGAGAATTCTCATCATAGAGATAATGCATCTTTTTCAATGTCAGGACCCTGGTATTCCCCAAACAAGAGGTCCTATGCTGTTTGTCCAGCTTTGATTATATGAAGCTAGTTTTTCAAATGGATGTGTTTTTTTCCATTTTGTAAATAAAATCATTAATCTTTCAAGTGGCTATCTAACTGCATTTGATAAAAAAAAAAGAGAGAGAGAGAAATTAGTGTGCATTGGCTTGGCCTGGGTGACAGCCAGCTTTCAATATTGTGCGTTAATAATAAAAGCAAACAATGTTTATTATCAACAATTCCTCTTGGCCAGACACTGTGCTTAGGATGTTGTTCCCATGATCTTAGTTTATCTACCCACACACTTGAGTTTTATCATCCCTCCTACCTTATAACCAAGGAAGCCAGGGCTCCCAGATGGTACACACTTTCTTAAGGATCTTACAGTTAGTACACATGGAATCCAGGAGTAAATCTCAAAATCTGATTCCACATTGTACTTTTTAAGACTTTGTTGTATAGAATAACATAGAGTATAGGACTCAAGATAATTCAGAATCACCTGTACCTGTCATCCCACGGTAGAAGGGTGAACCCTGGCTTACTCACCAACTATCTCCGCTTTCACAAAGTCATTAACCACACTCCAACCCATTCTGGTGAAATATTTCCTCTTGCTCCCACCTCTTGAGAAAAAGGTGGCAACTCAGATGGGAGGAGGTAAAGAGGAAAGTTCTTCCATTCTGTTGGAACGATAAACTGCTTAGCTTATTAAGTACTACCACCCAGCAGAACTTTCTCTAATGGTAATTTCCTTTACCATTCCTAAAACAAGGTTTTATCAAACCCCCAAAACTAGTTTTTCTCACTTTTGATCTTTTAAACAATTGTAAAATCACTAAAATTTTTTTGCAAAAAAGATTCTACAACAAAATGAATTTTAGCTCAAAATTTTGTAAAGTTCATTTGAAAATGAGGAAGGACTCACTTCAACTTGTAATAATGGCATTTCTCTTTTTCTTTCTACCTCATGGAATGATGTTATCAGCAAGTAAAACATTTAAGCTCCAAAACACCGATATAATCAGAAATTCTGCATCTCAACAGCCTTCTAGTCTAAAATATAGCAAGAACTTAAATTGTCTATGTCTTTTTATTTTTCTCTTGAGGAAACCCCAAAGTGTAAAATAACTTGAAGTCTATTTTTTTAATCTGTAATGCTTTACTTTAAAGATAAGCAACAAAAAATAATTCATAATAGCAATCAAGCCCTATATTGTGAATTTAATTTCTCAGTTAATTCCATTCTCCATATCTAACTACTAAGCCTAAAAATGTATTAAATTCTATCAAGTCATATTACTAAATTGTCACTTATGAATTTTTTCCTTGTTTTTCTCTGAGTTTCCTAGAGGTATTTGCATAAGTCTGCATGCCTCCTATTTTTAGGTCTACTACACATCCTCTTACTTTTTGACAAACAGCTCAATTTGTCAGTTATTAAATTAATCCTAAATTTGCCAGGCTGCACTCAGCCTGTATATCAAAATGATATTGAAGGAAGTTTCCTAATTTCCATATTGGAAATTTCTGCATTCAGGAGACCTGTGCCTTAACTTGGACTTGCCACTGACTAGTTCAGTAACAGTGGGTCAGTACTTGACCTCCCTGGGCCTCCGTTTCCTCCCCTGTGAGATGTGAGGATAGCATCTGGATCTTGCCAGCTCAGCAGCATTCTGGGTTTGAAATAGGTGATTTTCCCATGGAGCAGGAACATTCTAAGATTTTAGGTAGAAAACTAAGCAGGCATTTGCTTTCTAATGAAACTGTTTTAGAGAAAGAAATATTTTCCCTGAGTAAAAACCTTGCAAATAAATATGTCAGGCCCTCTCAGCTTATAAATTTCTGATACCCAAGTAAACCCAATTTGCTTGTGGTTAAGAGGAAAATCCAATGTTCATTGGCTTTCTAGTGTAGTTTTATATACACATCTAGATCCTATTTTTCAACCATTTTCTCTCTCCCTGGTCCAATCAGGATGCTGCCTTGATTTATAGTGAAGTAATTACTAGTCCTTTGATCAAATGCAAAGCATAGGTACTCAGAGAACACCCTCTGGAGTCTGGTGAGGCTTAGAAATCAAACAAAACTCAATTTTAATTTCCTCCACTTGGAGTGGGGAGTTTTGAAGACAAAACCACCACCCATTATGCACACATACACATATCACAGGGCATTTTATCAAGGGCCAGTGGATTTGGGAGCACTCAGACGTGGGATGGTCTGGGAATTCCTCAGAGATGGGAAGACTGCCCACAGGAGCTGGTACTTGGACCATCAGTATCAGCATGACCTGGAAACCTATTAGAAATGCAGAGTCTCAGATCCTATCCCAGATCCATCCACTGAATTGGCTACTCTGGGTGGGGCTTAGCATTACTGTTTTTTTTTTTTAAACAAATCCTGTACAGGTGATTCTGAGGCACACTCCAGTTTGACTATTTGTTTATGAGAAAGAAATGGCCTACCGCCATTTGGGAACATATTCAGAACCAGGTGAACAGCCTTACTAAAGCTCCAGGAAGCAGTGAGCTGGCAGCTACAGGGCTTAATGGGAGGCCTAACCTGGGATCCAACCACAATTTCCCCTTAGATAATCTTTTTCCTCCTCTGTAATGAGGGAAATTGCCCTGCCTTGCAGCGCGGCTGAGAGATGAAGCAAGGTAGTATAGGTAAAGTCCTTAGCACACTGCCTGGCATAGTGCAAGCAGTAGAACACACTGAGTCCCCAGGAGGTGAGAGGCTGAGGGAAAAGGTAGGAGAAACAAAGTAGGAAGTGTCAGGCCATAGGGATAATGGGCCTAATGAATAAGGGTTTTCCTGCGTTTCCTGTCTGTACAGGGTGTTTGTTATCAGTGCTTTATAGATAGCTAGAGAAGGCACTTTTTTGGGGGGTGAGGGGAACAACAAAATGAGGTCACAAATCCTGAAGTCCCTGAACCTGGCTTCTATGGACAGGATCTTCAGGTAGAGATTCCTGCAAAATGGTGCTCTCTAGGATACAGACAGAGAGGGCCAAGAGTCTAGACATGGAGCATTTTTAAATTTAATAATAACCAAGGACATGTTTCTGAATGTCTTCACCTTATTTCAAACAGGGGCTCTCTGGGAAGCAAATGAGGAGCTCATGCAGGGCTTCAGTCCCAGAAGAGGAAAGGGAGTCTCAGGGAGGGAAACACCTTGCTCAAGGTCACAGAGGTGAACACAAGCTCAGGGCATCTGACTTTAGCCACTTTTCTGCCTTGGGAGGAAGTGTGCCATGAGTGGGCGAGGCCAGAGAAAGCTTCACAGTCTATGACATTGGACATTTTAGCAGGTTTTACAGACTTCATTGGAGTTTTCCAGGGGACCAAAGAGGTGAAACATTTTAGACAAAGATACAAAAGCACAAAGAAATGACATGGGTGAATGGGACCTGCCAAGCGTTGGTCCTCTAAGATACCTCCAGCTCCTAGAAGAAGCTTTGAGCCTGAGTCCTGTCTCCATCCCTCAAATGAGGTGCTGGAGCTGTTGTCTTCTCAGTGAAGGTTTTCTTAGGCTCTGCTGAGGAAGAAATGCCAATCGGTCACAAAGTTAGGCAGTATAGAGCTTTATCAGGATTTGTGCACCCAGGTGAAGTTCTCTGGTCCGCAAAGTGGGGCTGAAGAAGCTGGGCCCAAGCAGGGAATGTGGTGAGTTTTATTTTGGTTGGCTCTCTTCATGGGAGCTGGGTACTGGTCCCCTTTGAACAAAGTGGCAATATAGCATTGGTGGTTCTCCTCGGACTCAGGCTGCTATGTGATATCCATTTTGGCAAAGCCCATTGCTTCAGCTCCCTGGTTTGACATCAGCCATCTTTTCAGGGTTGTAGTTCATTCGCCCTTCTGTCCTACCCCGCCCATCCTGACACTCAGATCATTTCAGTGTGTGCTGCATCTCTTGGCACTGAGACATGTAGTGACAGCTCATGGCACCTTGGCCCTCTGATCTTCCTCCCCAGCAGTGTCCAGCCTCGGGCATGACATCTGAAGGCTGTGGGAGCCACAACTCCCTTTGCTCATTACTCCAAGAAGTTGTCCCAAACAATCCTACCAGGCCTCTAGCTAGCTCTCCACTGACCAGAATTCACTCTAGATGCTCAGGAAAGTCAAGGACTGAGAGGCAGGTACTTCCTCAGGTCGGAACTTCCCCCAAACAATTGGCAATGAAGGTAACTGTGGTTTCCATTCAACATCAAAGGGTGGGCCTTTGGTTAAGGCTGGACTTGCACTATGGGAAGGACATCAGTCAAGGGCATGGTGATAAGCACCCTGCTGTCTGCATTTCTACTACTAACCTCTAATAACTGTTACTTTATATCAATATCAAACTTTCATTTTCCCAAACTTGTGTAACTGTCATAAAGAGTCCTGTTTCTCTGAAATAAAGATAATTTTGGCCCTTAAAATCAAGAGACCATGATGTGGCTACACCAGTAAATTTTTAGACCACAGTGACCCAATCCAGTGCTGAGAACAGTGGACATTACATGGAAGTTAGAAAATGAAAGGATGAATGGAAGAAAAGAAGGAAGAAAGGATGAATGAAAGGAGAAAAGATATTACAAATAGTATCATCACCAATAATTGCAGTGATTATTTTTCCATTTTCTGGACATGAGACCCTTTAGCTATATGAATCCTTAGCCACACTGAGGGACCAGAATGAAATAAACCAACCAAACTATTGAACATCTACTATGGGTGAAGGCCCCCAAAGCTCCTGGTGGCCACTAAGTATACTTCACAGTCTTTTGGAAATAGAGATACCTTTATTCTCAAAATATCAGTTCTTTTTCAATAAAATGCATTTTTTCCCTAGGAAAGGATGGAATTGGATTTAGATGCCAAGTCAAGAAGAATATCACTGGCAAGGGAGGCCAGCCAGGAAGTTTGGGGTCTAACTCAGACTTTCATCTAATACAGTTCCATTTTCACCCTGACACACACGTCCCCAAAAGGAGACAGAAGCAGTCTGTCTCCTTTTACACTCTGCTGAAGAGGCTTTAAACAATCATGAAGAACCAATGTCTCTTTCCATCTGCATTAATCAGACAAAAGGTAGAGGTGTTCTGAGATTAAAACTATCTAATATCCAAGTTTTATTATCTTATCCCCTTTTTTGTATTTTGATCTTAGGACTTCAAGGACAAAAAGGAACAAAAGGAGAATCAGGAGTTCCAGGTAAAGGGCCAACTTTGTTTTAATTTCCTCAGAAAGATGACTGCAAAGGCTCAGGCTTGGAGGGAGGGCTGCTTGACTTTGAACACACCACTGTGACCTTTCCTCATAGTGGCCAGGGCACAAGGTGCTTTGAGGCTAAGACTCTAGGATTCTGTCACTCAAGCCTAAGATTTTCTTCCTGAAAAACCTGAGGAATTACAGGGGGTGTAGGGAGAGGGCTAGTGTGGAACATAGCGAAGTGTCAGGAGAGCCAGTGGTAAAGTAGTGGCTTCAGGCTATACAGCCACCATAGTATCTCAAGCACCTACCCTCCTCCTCCTTCTGACTAGATTATTATTATCATCATCCTCGTTCACTTAGCCCCTGCTTGTAGTTGGTTACTGTGCCCCTGGCCCTTTCCATACTGCTTCTCCAGTCTTCTCAGCAGCTTGAGCCTAAGGAGTACTAAAGCAACAACACTTCTCAGACAAGCTGCTTGAGCAGTCTTTCTTCCTCACAAACTGCGCATCTACTCCTATTTTAACTTACTAAAGGAGAAATTGAGGCCTAGAAACATTCTAGCAAATTCTTCCAGAATGTCTAGAACTTCCACCCAATTTTGTAGTCTGATGAAGACCAATGACCTCTGGAATCCTGTCAGCAAGTTTTCAACCAGCATTTACACTCAAGTCAGGAGATCTGAGCAGCACCATGCCCTCCTCAGTTGGACCAAAGATACCAGCCAAACATCCAAACAATCCAATTCACAGGGGACACCAGCTAGTTAAGGACAACTCACTCATTAAACACCAAGGCTCTTGGTCCCACTTGCAGAGCAGAGCTTCTAACAGAGTGGTCTTTCTCCTCCCTAGGCCCTGCAGGCATGAAGGGAGACAAAGGAAGCCCAGGAATGGCAGGCCCCAAGGGTGCATCTGGACCAAGTGGCCAGAAGGGAGACCCAGGAATGAAAGGTAAGGCCTCTGTTTCTTTTTTGTGGTTTTGAAGAAGTCCTGGTGTAAGGGGCTTGGGTATTTTCAGGACCAGAAGGGTTAAGGTCTCTTGGTTTAGTGGACAACTCCTGAGCTGGGATTGGCCTCAGCTCTGAGCCTACAAAAGTAGATAAGGCACAGTCCAGCACTCAGAGAGGCAGACATGAGAACTTGCACTCACACTATGCCCAGCCATGCCCCCACCACTCTGGACAGTTTCCATGACTGACCAGATCTTACCATGAAGGAGATGCTTCCCACTCCATGTCTCTTACCTTTGCAATGTCCCTTGCTAATCTAGTTTGGGGCCTTCCTGCTGTGGATTAGGTCCATTTCTTTGTGCTTAAATGATGGTGCCCATGGAATGCCCTGTCCCCATGATGCCAGGTCCCTGGCAAAGCTGGAAAGAGAATATGACCTCCTTGGCATCCCTCCAACCTCCTGCCATGGATGACAGAGGAGGGCAAGGGGGTCTGGCCTGGTTCCCTTCAATTCCTGTGGTTTTTCTCCTTGTGACAGGATCTCCTGGGTCTCAAGGAGCAAAGGGAGAAAAAGGTCAAAAAGGTAATTGCTGTTTTTATTCTCTTTTATTTGTGCTTTATAGTCAATTCTATACTTGAAAATTGTGTGTGTGGTAGGGGTAGAGGCCCTGGTTCTCAGAAAAAAATTCTCATTTTTTAGAAAGGTCAATGAGCTCTTTTTCTGAATAAGCCTGCTCCTAACAATAACCATAGCACAACAGTCTCCCTTCATTCCTCCCTCCTTTCCTCCCTCCCTCCCTTTCTTCCTTCCTTCTTTCCTTCCTCCCTCCCTCCCTTCCTTCCTTCCTTCCTTCCTTCCTTCCTTCCTTCCTTCCTTCCTTCCTTCCTTTCCTTCCTTCCTTCCTCCCTTCCTTCCTCCATCTCCCTTTCTCCTCCCTTCCATTTCTCTCTTCTTTCATCTCCCCTTCTTTTCTTTTTTCTCTCCTTCTCCTTTTTCCTTCCTTCCTTTTTTTCTCCCCATAATGCAAGGCAAAACACGGTCAGCTGGACTTACAAGACCAACCACAGAGGCCCCTGGTTCTATGGCATCATGCCTGTAGGCCCAGAGGTACAAAGGCTGCTTGCCAGGTCATGTTGGTGCCATATGTGGGATATTCCTGACCAGCAGGGGGTTTCTTTCCCCTAACTATAGGGGAAATGCCCCCAAATGAAAAGGCAGAGTCTACATTTACACAAAGTTCTAGGCTGCCTTCCTCGCCTCTCTTATGTGTTTTTTCACCCAGGTGAATTCCCGATACCTGTCAGGATTATCGGCTCTGCAAACCGAGGACGGGCTGAAATTTACTATGGCAATTCCTGGGGGACAATTTGTGATGATAACTGGGACAATTCGGATGCCACTGTCTTCTGCCGCATGCTGGGTTACTCAGCGGGGAAGGCCATTTACCATGTGGGAGCTGGTAAGTGAGTCCCCGACCAGCAGCCTCTTTCCTTAAGGAGCTGACATGGGCTTTCTCTCCCTTTGATTGCAAGTTATTCAGTGTGGTTTGAGTTAGAATAGAAAGATTGGTTCAAGCAACTGAGAAGTTCTACAGCTCAGGGCCCTAGGATTCCATCCTTCTAGCTTGGCAGCCCTTGAAAAAATATGACCTTTCTTCTCCAAGATTGACAGCAAGGCTTGGTTAGAGCTCTGACTGGCTTGGCTTGGTCAATATCTGTCCATACCTTGAGCCAGAATGCAGTATAGCTGATGGTGTTTGAGAGGAATGACTCTCCAAAGATTAGTAGAGGTGCTGGTGCTTGAAGAATGGAGAAAAGTTGCAATGCAGGGAAACACAGGCGTTCATTCCAACTGTCTGGGAAGTAGAGGAAACTAGTGGGTCAGGATTGCCCACTCTGTGATCACCTGTAAGGAGAAGGTGTGAAGGAAGAGAAAGAAAATCAGAGAAGGGGCTTCCTAAAATCAGTACAGGTTGCTAGAGACTCAACCTGTGTCTTTCAGGAAAAGGTTCAAGCTTTCAATAAAGGAGTTAAATCCTCAGGCTGAAACCATTTTTTCGGCCGTAAGGGCTGATCTGGCACAGATGCTAGGCCCACTCCTCCTGCTCCCACCCCCAAAATTCTCTCTGCCCTTACTCCACCCAAGTGCATAACTATCCTTTAATCTGAGTCCAGGTGGATTGTAAAACAACTTTAAAATACGCATTCCCCTTGTACAGATTGTCACACTGTGGTGTCAATTAATGCAATGAAATAATCCGTTTTCCTCTGAGCTCTTGATCTAAAATCAGCTATATCAGAAGAAAGGGGGGTTGAAGAAGGTGAATGCTTGGGAGAAACATGGATAGGCTCTAGTGACCCAGCAGGAAATGATAAATGCTGAGAGGCTCCCAGGAGGAGATTTCAAATAGTGCATGTATTAGTATTAAATGCTTGGATGAGATTTTGTCAAAGGGAAGAAAGCACAACAGAGGCAGAACCATTAAAAGAGACTAGTCCAGCCATCAGCACCTTGGGCCTGAAATGATGTCAGAGAAATTGGCAGTCTACCATAAATGGGTGCCCCCAACCATCAGTGAGTAACTCAGCTTTGAGCCTAATCCCAAGCTCCTTTCCCTCCTTGCTTTCTCTGTGAATAGGCACTGGTGCAATTTGGCTGGATGATGTTTCATGTCAAGGGACAGAGACAAGCCTGTGGAGCTGCAGCAAGAGCAAATGGGGCTCTCACAATTGTAACCACAGTGAAGATGCCGGTGTGGAATGCAGCTGACCTGCTGTAGCCCTTACATTGTTCTGCCCCCAACGTGCCTGCTGGACCCACTTGGGGAAGACCAGCACTCACTGAGGGGTTCCCTGAAAGTGGGGTCATTAATAAAATTCAATGTGCTACTTGGCAATGTAAATGGCCATGGCTGAAATCATTCCATCCCTTTTTGATGTACCCAATCAATGTACAACCTTGCACTGAGTTCTCACATGCCCCTGCACACAGGGACAGTGGAGTCCCCACTTATAGCCAGGGGGAGGGTGGGGGTACAGGGGATCTAAATGAGATACAGAAGGTGAAGGCCACCTGTAGTCACAATTAGTCATGACCATTCCTTCAATCATTCAGATGGAGCATCTCTCATAGCATGTTCTCCCTCCAGCACTGGAGCTGTTCAGCATGATATATAGGAATTGCACCTTTAAGCATGAACATTAGCTCTTATTACAATGTGAGCTCCAGAAATGCAGGGACTTTTGTCTGTTGAATTCATTCCTATAGGGGCTCAGCAAATAATTGCTCAATGAATGACTGAATTAAACCAAGACGATAGAGCAGCTCACCTACTCTGAGAAATTTGGCTTCTGGCTTCCTTTTCATTCTTCCCCTGGGATCACATTCTCTCTGTCTGTCTCTCTGTCTCTTATCCTCTCCTCTCCCCTAATCTCCAGGGGTTATAAATGATTCAGATGAATGTTGAATTTTAGAGAGTGAATGCATGTATGATGTGACTCTGATGTACCATCATTCACGCTTGACCCATGAGTTGCTCAGCTTCAGGGAATTAGGAAAATTGCTGAGGGTCACTTGTAAATGGTAAAGCCAAGGTAGAACTTAGGGAGGAGCAATGGAAGGGTTGGGAGATGGAGGAGCTCTGGCTGCTGCCCAGCACAGGCACAGCACAAGCAAGTGGCCCTCACCAGGACACTTCAGGGCTCCCCTTGGGAACTCAAGCAAACCACCCAGAAGCCACAACAATTTCAGGGGCTACAGGTTCACAATTCTAGAACAAGTGTCAGAGCTGCAAGGGGACAGAGGGGAAGGGACCCTGGCAGGGAGCGGGACTTGAAAGTTGGCTGTTTTAACTTTGCAGAAACCTCTGTAATGATGCATCTTTTGCTGTCATGTTGGGATGGAGGAATGGTAGACTAGGGAGAACTTAAAATGTCAAGAAGACATTTTAAGCCATATCAGAGGTTCTGGGATATAATATTTTGAAAATATATAAATAGAGTATTTTATAAGCATCTCTTATCTCTTTATGCCTGTTATCTCCCAAGAAGTTTTTTTGTTCAAGGGAAGGAAATAACTGGTACTGTTACCTGACAGGGGACCTGGTCCTGAGCAGGTCTGCCTAGAGCCAGCTGGTAGTGTGTGGGTTCTTGACTTTGTGCAGGATAAATTTCACAACACAAGTCCATGCGACTAGGAGGGTACATTTATTAAAACTGGGGAGAATAAAACAAGGAAGGACTTAGCATAGAAGAAGCAACAGAAGAGCCTAGGCTGGGCTGCTTTTGCTCACTGGGAAGTCAGAGAAAAGGGGATCGTGGGGAGAGTTCAGGGAGTCAGCAGGAGATGAGGTGCCACTGCACATTGCTCCCTTGGTTGTAAGTCTTGTAGGGCCCCATAGAGTTTGGAGATATGCGCCTGTGGGGAAGAAGTGAGGGAAATAGAGGGGGAAGGGAATGGTGTGGGCTGCTCCTAGGGGGAGAGCGCTGCTGAGTCCTTTGTCTTAAGGCCTTTGTCTCTTTCTTACAGTTGGGAATTCAGAAGAAGATTTCAGCAGAATATTCACCAGTTTTCCAGGTGTGCTCTTTCAGGGTCATGGTCTCCACTGATTGGCTAGTGCCAGGGTAATTAGTCATTGCAGCTGGTCCTGGCTTCGCCCACCTGGTTTGCTACTTTTCTGGTTTGGGAGCTGAAATACAACTGAGGCCTAGATGCTCTCTAAGGAGATGACCTTCTGTGTGTGGCTGTAAATTACTCAGCCCATTTGTTCATCTCTTTCTCAGTTTCCCTGTTCCTCTTATCCTGGCTTACTGGCCTGTCTCAGTACTGCCTGAAACCGATGTCATCTCACCCATCCGAATCTCAAATCTGACTTTCTGAACCTCTTGAAAACATGAGCACCATGAGAATAGAGATGAAAGCAGAACTATTTTCTTACTTTTAGCTCATCAAAAGCCAAGCCTTGCTGACTTGATCATAGTATTTTAAGGAAAGGAGGTCTGACCTGAGCCAACAGGGCAGGCATGAGGTGAAAGCCTCCCTACCCCCTCGCTCAGTGGATTGTGGGAAAAGGGGATCAGGAGATAGAAGCAGAGGGGAGGGTCGACCTGGTACCCTCAGAGCCAGATCCTGCTTTTTTATTTTGTGTCACAGAATCCGCCTACTGCAAGAATGATGGCCTGTGGGACTCCTTGCTGCCTACAGGACCCCTGTTGCCATGCTCAGAGACCTATTGGCACTTGTACATTCTCTCTCTCTCTCACCTTCCCCCCCACACACATCTTTTCACAAGAACAAAAACACTTTATAAGCACAGAATAGTCAAAATCCTTGCAGAGAATGGACCATCTATGCTGCCAAACCACACCCAACACTTCCCCTCCATGGCACTGGTTTTCATCTCTGAGCTGTGGATAAGGTGTAGGTCTGTCTCCTGACCTCTTGTCATATGCATCTTCCTGCCAAATTCCTTCTATGCAGGTACCTCAAAGGTCAGGCAGCTAGAGCCTGACCCATCATCCACCCCTCCTATGATCCCCATCTCAGCCAATGTGTACTCCCTCCATCTAGTGCCCAAGACAAAAACTGAGTGTCAAAAGCCATGTCTCCCCTCTGTTACCCCTCATCAACCAGGCACCAAATCCAACTAATTCAACTTCTCAGGTATCTTTTCAGTGCATCTAGCTCTCCTCATCTTTGCCACCACAATGGTCCAGGACATAACAGCAATTGGCTGGATGCTTGGACCATCTCCTAATTAGTCTCTTCCCTCCACCGCACTCCACAAGCCGCTCATTTATTTCGCACAGAGCAGCCTGAAAGATACTTAGAAATGACAAAGCTAACCATGCCACTCCCTGCCTAAAACCTTCAATGGTTCCCCACCTTCTTATGTAGTGGGGCAGATTCATCACAGTGGCTTATAAGGAAGTGACCTTGACAATTGATCTCACACGGCTGTCCAGCAACCTTAATGTTCTTTTCTTTTCATTTTTATTGCATTTTTCCATTGCCATTTAGTCTCCTTATACCTCCCTCCCTGCAACAACCTTAATGTTTCAAATCCTATTACATCTAGTTTTCTGTTCATGTAGTTTTTCTTATGCAGTGTCTCCTATACAACAGGCTCTTGATGAGTGTTTTTTGATTGACTCCCTAAACAAATGAAGGAATGCCAAGCAGAGCACTTAGCTTCTCTGTGCTGGGATAGCTTTACAGTCTTTCCTCAGACAGGAGGTACATCCTTGTTGTACCTTGTACTCTAATTATTTTTACTGAAGATCCTGACTCAGTTTCCCAGATACAAAGAAATGGTTTTCATCAAGGCAAATCTAACCTTTGGCCTTTTACATCTTATAAAGTTAGGCTTCAAAACGAAATAATGGGGCCCATGTTTTACTAGGTGTGCTGTTTAAAAGATTTTTTAGTTTGTCTTTTCCTGCTGCCTCAACATCCCCATGAACAGGCTATGAATATAGGCCTAGGTGACCAGGTACATCAGGGTGAGAAGGCAGGTCCCTACCATAAATTCCCCTTTTTTACCTTCTTACATCTATGACCTAGTGACATTCAAAGGCACCAATGAAATCCTTTTGTGCCCTTTGCTTGTGAACCCCACCTGACCCCCATAATCAAGACCTTCACCTATGAATCCTTGCTCTCTCTGCTCCCTGCCTTCAAGGTTGATCCCATTCCCTGGCACTTCCTTTGCATGATCCCCTCTCTGTAGGACCATGAGTATAATCAACTTTGTTTTCCCGCATCTGTCCTGTGCCTACTCTTGTGGCTGCAACTGACCTGATCATCCCCCAAGAGAACACAGAGCACTAGAACATCACATGATATGACTGAAATCATTCCCATTTTGTAAAAAATGCAAACTGAGTCACAAAGAGGTTAAGTAACATGGTATGTTGACTTCGATTCACACTCTTCTGTTCATGGCCTTTACAATGTGACTTTGCAGCTCTTCTCAGCAGAATCCAGGTCTGTTGCTCTTTCATTCTCATTCTCTCTCTCTCAGCATTCCTGCCACTAGTTCATGGGGTGGTTTGTCACACAGCAATAACCACCTGATAAGGTTAACCTGATGGAGGACACACAGCTGGTAAGAAGCAGAGAGGGATTCAAAACCAGGTTCATTAGGTACAAGTAAGATTAAGAGATAAAGGACAGTCGCTGCCACCTGCACCTCTGTCAGGCAGTTCCTCTGATAAGCTCTAAGGCTGAGCTAAGCTGAGGCCGCTCCCCTTTCAGATACACAGGGGCCACAGCACATGGCAGCAGTGTGGGCGTGCTGATCCTGTGGCTGACTGGAGGCTGATGTGGGGCTGAAGAGGAACTGGGTAAAATTAGCATGCCAGCATCAACTTCCAGAGAGCAAGCTGGTATGGGGCTGTTCCCTCTAAATGTTGGGCATGGCCTCCTGGCCTCTGCATGACACTGTTGCCAGTGACTTAGTTGTGCTGCCCAATGGAAATAATTCTTCCCTCTTGTTTCCCCTCCTGGAGACACCATGACCTGGCTGAGGCCTGTGGGAAAGATACCAGTACTGAACAGACTGGCTGGGCAAGACAGAGACGGCAGGGCCCCTGAAGACCCTCTGTGCACAAGCCTCCATTTTCCCCTGCCAAACTGTTTCCCAGAACCCACCTGTAAAGTCACAGCTAAGCATAAATGTTCAGAAGCCAAACTGCCTGGGTTAGAATCCTGTTATCCATGTAACAGGTCTTTACCTGGACAACCAAGTTATTGAACCTCTCTGAGCCTGGTTTTCCAGTCTTAAAATAAAGATAACAGTTCTTCTCTCTCAGAGTTCTTGTGAGGATTACCTGAAATAAGAAGTACAAAGGAAGCATTTGAAATTATGCCTGGCACATGGTAAACAGTGTTAG